AGAAAACTGTTTGGCTTGTTGCCCTATCTTGATCCTCTTTTGTGGCAAAGTATATGGATACTGTACCTCTTTGGTTGCCATTGCTGTTCATAGAAATATATACTGCTTTTGCCTTTATATTTCTTAATTGCCTTAACAGTGAGGTTTCAATCGCAGTTTTGGGTAGATTTTTTATAATTGACTTAAATCTACTTCTATCTATAAGTGTTTCTTTGTTCAGAAAACTACATGTAACTCTTAGCATTTTACTATTTTCGAAGTGTACTGCCCAGGAGTTTTGAAGTTCTTCTTTTCATTTAAAGTTTCTAAAAGCTACCTCTACTTGTACTGTCTTTGTTTTCCTATTAGACATGAAATATTTAACTGTGGCTTTTTCATAAAAGCCCAAACACCTTCTAATTTGGTTTGCTCTAGTTTCATTTGGTATGTCCCATAGAGTTATACATGTCGAACTCTTGTATGGCTTTTCTTTTGTCTGGGAAGTAGCAGCTATTGCCTTATATGAGTTGCTTACTAGTTCTTTTTTAATTTTCTCATCTAAGGAGACTTCTTGCCATGAATGCTTAGATATCACCTCCTTAGAACTACTTTCTGCCGCATCTATAACTCGCTTTAACTTGTGGCCTGATTACACTTTAGTTTGAGTCTCAAAATTAACATCTACTATGGTTTCTTGGATTTTCGAGTTGGTATTCATCTCTAGTTCTAAGTCTGGATTAATTATGTCTAATAATTCCTTGACACCATAGTCTACTGTTCCACATTCTGTGAGAAGTAGCATTTCTTTGATACCGAATTCCTTGTGAGTTGGTTTTTTAGTTTTGTTGTCTTGTGAACATAGCGATTGTTTATAAAGGTCAAGTTCAGCTATTGTTAGAACTTTTCCTGTTGCTTCTTTGTGTCTAAGCCAGTCGAACATTTCGATTGTTCTTCTAATGAGGCTTATTAATTCCACAGCATCTACTCCAAGCCATGCGACAATCTTTTGATCCTTAATTAGGATATCTTGTTTGAGTTTCTGGAATAGATCTTCGTTGCTCTGTTTGTCTTTTCTAAACAGGTCTTTGAATTTGGTGAAACTTTCCATTTTCAACACGTGACAAAACTAATATTATATTGTTGCACGTGAAGATTGTTGTTGTACAGATGCCAATTGTTGATCAGTCACATTAATTACTTGTTTGGGCGTTTGATGTGTTACATGTTTGTTTGTTGTTGTAGTAATCTGTGCTACAGGGTCAAAGCCGATTCTCCCAAATTGTTGTTTTTTTAAAATTTTCTTTCGAAAACTAACTATTTGGCCTTTATGGCTTTTTTTTGAGAACTGGACCAGATGTGCTTCTAAGTACCTCAAGGTAGATTTTTGTGCTGCTTCTTTTTACTTAGACCTCGAAACCTTGCTATCTAGTGCCTATATTGCCATTTTGTGTGTTTTCTTTTAGCTTCAAATTTGGTACGAGGATCTACAGGGGAGAGTTCTCTGATTTCAGTTATTGAATATCTGAGACTATATTATAATAATTATTATTCATCTAATATAATTTATTAAAATCACATTTTTATGTAACAAATAGAAAGTAATTTACTTTTTTAATCTCATGTAACTATTTTTAATATCAAAAATATTATTCGGTTCTATTTTTAAAATATATTGCAAAAAATATCTGAATACTAATATATAGCATACCTTATACCCATTTTTGGGTATACTATAGCATGCTTGATATAAAAAAAAAACCAGAAGGCTCAAAAAACAATATCTTGTTGTTTAATACTTGAATCTGTACTATGATTATCTTTTAATTACGTAACGTAAATTGTTGCATTTTTAACCATGCTACGTATCTTTTTTTTAAAACATTGTTGACTATGCTGTGAAATTTTATTTCTTAATCGAATATAATCATAATATCATATAAAATGTAGTATATCTAATCATTTAATCATATTGTTATATTACTATATTTTAGCAGTGGTATAGTTACACAAATTACTATTTATAGCCTAGTTTAAGTACAACAGTTCAAATTTGTACTATTAGATTTATTAGTAGACTTTTTATCGTTTTGTAATTGAAGTTATATTAGCATAGTACTTTAGCATAGTACCTTAGCTTAGTACCTTAGCATAGTACCTTAGCATAGTACCTTGGTATAGTACCTTGGCATAGTACCTTGGCATAGTACCTTGATATAGCACCTTATTATAGTACCTTGACATATAGTACCTTGATATGTTTTTAAAATAACAATAACACATTCTTAGCATGTTAAAAAGCTATATAAACCCTGCCTTTTTCCCAAAGCAGGTCAAGGTTCTTCTATCTAAGCTTTTATTAAAAGTTCTCTTTTATCTTAAAGCCCTTTCTTTAGCTTAGATTTTTACCTCCAAGTCCTGTTCTTTATCTAATAAACTAATACTCATTTTTGACTATACTCTTACCACATTGTGTATATCTTTTATCCTTTACTCATTACATTGTGAAGGCTCCTTTTTATTGTGTTTTCTTTATATTTTTTTTGTTTAGTTTTGTGTTGTTTTTATTCTTCACTCATTATATTGTGAAGGCTTCTCTTATTGTGTTTGTTTTATATTTTTGTTTTGTTTTGGTTTTGTTTTTATTCTTCACCTATTACATTGTGAAGGCTCTTTTTTATAGTATTTCTAGTATATTTTAGTTTGTTTTTATTCTTCACCCACTACGTTGTGAAGGCCTTATTTTGTTATTTTAGTTATATTTTTGTTTGGTTTTTATATTTTACCCATTATATTGTGAAGGCTCTTTTTATTGTGTCTTAGTTATACTACTTTATTACTATTCTTAAGTATTCTTTTTTAGGTTTCTTGTGTTTTATCCTGTATTTTGTTTTAGTTCTTGTATCAGTTTATTATTTTGTCAACCCACACATTCCTTGCCCTCTGCATGTTAAGTCAAATAACATAGTTAACCAATTTAGGTTTTCTATATTACAATATAATTCACATTTTACATATATATATAGTCTTTATAAATAATCATATTGCATGTTGTTGATTTTTAGTGTGACTATACTATTTCTTTGCTAGATTTTTTCTGAAAAAATGTTGAAAAAAAGCCCTGCATCAAACACCAGACTTCAGCAAGACATTATTTTAAAGAATTTTTTAACATATATGATATTCAAAAAACTACACCAGAGGATTACTTTTGTTGGCGATATACAATTATGAATACATTATACAATTCCATATCATTTAACAACGAAAAGGCCGTATATATTTTCTACTTAAATAAATATTTTAAAGATTTAAACTCTTCAATTGTTGAAGAACATAAAGAAGTTATTATAATATTTTTGTTTTAATTTACAATGATTTAATGATGATTCTATATATCATACCAAATATACATTCTCTTGGAGTTGTATAATTGTCATTTGTGTTCTCTTGAAAGTTATAATTTTTTGTGAAATGGTATAATAACAGCAATTTATAAGTTTTTAGAAGTGATATAATAATATTTAAAATATATATTCTCTTGGTATAATTTCCAGAAGTGGTGTGATAATAATTAAAATGTATATTCTCTTGGAGTTATATAATTGTTGTGTGTTTTTTTAAAAAGATATAATTTTTAGGTAGTGATATAATAACAGCAATTTGTATGTTTCTGGAAGTGATCTAATAATATTATGGAATACAATATTATTTTTAACTGATTAAAAATGAAAAGAATAGTATTTTTATATAAATTATATATCACATACTAATTTGATTTATTTTTTTAAAAAAATTTTTTAGATAATTAAAATTTGGCACATATTGTTGCTATGGAAAAGTCTGATTTTATCAAATTTTCTAAAAATACTCTATCAATAAGGTTGATAGCGTTTTGTCTACTAGAAATCCGCATATTGAATTGTTATTTTTAGAAACAACTAGCCATTATAGATTAATTGATCATTCCAGGGCAGAATGAGATCATTTCAAAGAAGTAACAGGCATACTTGCAATGTTGGCTAAAATTGCATATATCTTTCTATATAGGTTCATTGATACTTTCAAAAAAATAAAAGTTGGGTTTGTTCATACTTATGGTAAGTTGCAATAAAATATATATTTTTGTTACAAAATTACAACTTTTAACAATAATATATAAAACTATAGATAATTTTTTTTACTATTGGACTCTCTGTATACCATCACCAGGAATTTATATTATGCAATAAGTTCTAAAAGTATTTGTATCTTGAAAAAGGGTAAACTAGATTGGACTTGGAGAAAATTGGCAATACAGGTATCAACTAACACTAAACTACTCCAAATCAACACTAAACAACCAAACTCTATCCAACTCTAATATTGGAAGGTGGAAAGAAGTGTGAAAAGACTTGGTCCGAGTTATTAGGGCCAAATAGAGTTTTAGACTATGTCACGAAGCTCTTGTTTAGGATCACAGGACTATACTACTAATTATATGCAGATTTTACTTATTGGGGTAATTAAAGCGAAATGATATTAAAATAATAGACTCTTTATGAGTCAAACTCTAATGAGTTATGACAACTCTTCGTGAGTTATGCCAACTCTTAGTTCTTAACTCTGAGTTCTTCTTTATTTTCAATGTGAAGTGTCTTTGCTTTTATACTTTTACAGTCTTAATAAAATACAGGTTTAGATAAGTTACATTTAGCCTAAAAAATTGATAAAGCTAATAAATTGAATATAGTTGGGAAATTAAATAAAGTAACTATATTTGCTAAAAGGGCTAAAGCTATTAAAGCTAATATTTTGAACAAAGTAGCTAAATCTAATAACGTGACTAAAGTTACTAAAGCAGTTAAGTCTAACTAAACAAACTGGTTGAACAAATTCTAAACTCGAAGTTAAGTAATATATAACTTATATATCAATAAAAATAGAATAATATAATAATAAAATAGGAATATAATATATATAAAAAATTGCAGGGCCCTTTCCAATCTACAACCTTTAATGAAAGACATCATATTTTATTGTTTATGATTTTATTTGAAAAAATAAGGGTATATACATATTAAATAATCTATTGTTTACATTTTTAAAAAATAAATTATTAAATTATTTTATTTAATAGAAAGATGTCTCTAAAACAATCGAGTTATTAGAAGTTTTGAAGGCTACGCACATCAAAAATCAAGAAGAAATGATCTTTAATACTACAAATGAAAATAATTCAATGATTCCACTTCCAGATTTGTTGGGTCCCACAAGTATTGAAGTCGACAAAAAAAAAGGATTATATAGAGATTAGTGATGTAGAACCAAGCAGCATAAGGGTTAGTCTCTACTATTATGAGTATTTGGGCAAAATTCCTTAAATTGAAATATTGATGTTTAATCAATTTCAATAATTAAGGTAAATTAAGATAAAATAGAATTTTGCATATTCAGAAATAATTGGTGATTCGCTATTTCATTAAGTTAACCAGCATTAATTATGCATTAATTATAATTCTAGTTATTAAAATTGACAGATCTTATTTATTGAAATCTACATTAAAGGTTCATTAAAGCGAATTTTCTACTTATACATTCATTAATATTAATAAAATTATGTGAATTTTCAACTTCACTTAAAATTGTTATTTAATTAAAGCTGATATTATTAATTTTAAATATAAATAAATATAATTACTCATATATTCATCAATATTTGAATCATTCATTCTTTTTTTTTTGTAATTTTAAATGAATAGGGTCCATGTCACTTGCTCTACAACAATTTGCCCGACAGCTATTTTTTTAATAATATTACTAAAAAAATAGCTGTCGAACAAATTGTTGTAGGGCAAGTGATATGGACCCAAATGAATATATAATTACTTATATGTTCATTAATATTAATAAAATCATACAAATTTTTAACTTTGCTTAAAATCATTATTTAATTAAAGCTGATATTATTAACTTTAAATATAAATGTGTATAATTACTTATACATTCATCAATATTAATAAAATTATATATATATTTGAATTGTTCTTTTTTTTTGTAATTTTAAAGGTTTAAAATAGAAGATACTAATATTTTGAATATAGAACAATATGATTTATATGATACTATGCTTTCATTTGCTGAATTGGAGATGGAAGAATAGAATGAGACAGATAATATTGTCCGACAGCATGCTCAAGAATTGTGGAAGTTTTGGGAAAAAAAAGAATGTACCTGTAGAAAAAATAAAAATGAAACTTGTTTTGAAAAGATTGGGTTTTATCTATTTTTTTAAGAGACAAGAAGAATGTCGCAAAATGTTATACAATAGCTTGGATAGTTGGATCAATGGACAACTTGTGTCATTTGCATTTAGCGAATATACAAAAAAAAAAAAACTAGTCAAGAATCATGTAGTTGTATTACTTATCAGTACCATCATAATGCACAACATCTTGTATGTATATCTACATATGTAGTATTAATAGGAATTTCTTTAGCTCGACTTTATTGAATTAAATCTCGTATTAAGAATGAAGGAATTGTTGAAAATGTTCATAGAAATAAAGAATGTATTTTAATTTAATTTTATCATACAACTATAAATGAAGAAATTAAACAAGAAATTAGTAATTTCATTCATAATTATGCTAATATTTATAGATTTCCTTCACCAGGTTAACATATGTGACAAAATGCTATGCCAACTATTTTACTTCCATTAGACACAACGTATAATAATATTTATAAAGAATATATAAATTTTACTGAATTAATAAAAGATGAAAACTATAAAATTATGTCATATAAGACATTTCTTAAAATCTGAAAGGAAGCTGCACCTGATGTTCAATTAATGGCAAAAGCATCAGACCTTTGTGATAAATGTGAACAACTTCATGTTGAAATTCGAGTTACTGATAATATAAAAAATAAAAAAAACTTCAAGCCAAATTTGATCTTCACCGTGTAACTGCAACAATTGAACGCCAACACTATAATAACAATATTAATATGAGTAAACAATTAAAATTAGAAATTGTACATATTTGCTATGATTGGGCCCAAAGTGTACAGATTCCTTATTTGCCACAACAACCTGGGGGATTATTTTTTAAATCACCATTTAATATTTACATATTTGGAGTTGCTAATACTGGTTTAGAAACACAAAAAAATTACCTTATTGGTGAACATTAGTTTCTAAAAAAAACACCTAAAGATGCTAATACAACCCTTAATCTCGTATATAATAGTTTATTTCGTTGAAATCCATTACAAAAACACTTAAAAGTTACATATAATAACTGTGGAGGCCAAAATAAAAATAATTTTACTCTTTGGTTCTATTTATAGCTTACTCTGATTAGACAATTCAATATAATTGAACTAAATTTTATGGTTTCTGGTCACACTAAATTTATTTGTGATTCATATTTTGGAATGATTAAATTGCATTATTATAAATCTAATATTATGAGTATAGATCATGTCAAAGATACTGTAAATTAATCAAAAAAAGACAAAGGTAATATAGCAGTTAGATATGATGGAGAAGGATGGAATTATTATGATTTTGAAAGTTTTTTAGAACCATATTTTACAAAAATTGATGATATGTATACAATATTGGGCAAAAATTGTCGAATAACGGTAATTTGGCAAATAGACACGTGCCGCTTTGCAGCACGTTAGCCAATCATTTGCCAAATTACCGTATTCAACAATTTGCCCAATATTGGTGTTATCCAGCAATTTATGATCATGATTGGTAAGGAGTTGCTCGCTGTGTTTTAATTTTGAATATAGGAATAAACATAATTACATAGTAACACATGAAAAAAAATAACAAGAAGAAATTTTTTCATGATCATATGAGTTTGCC